AAAAGTAAGCAACACAAAAAACATGCATCTTACCTAAATGAATATAGAGTGGTCAGATAATAAAGGTAGTTTGTCAAGTGCACGATCGATGTTATGCATGAAATTGTTAACAATTACCACGAGAAACATCCAATTGTAAATTATCCATTTATCTATAGTAATTCAATAGCTTAACAATGCTTACCTCAACTTCGAAGACCAAATGGCAACAACAAAGTTTTCTAAACAAAAATGAAAAAAATTCATATACACCTGTTCTCAGTATAGAAATAATGTATAGAAATAAACAAATTTAAAACCTTTGGTATTTTTTGAAATGTAGGAAAAGAATCCATTGACATAAAAATGACAAGTTTTCTTGCCGGTGATGTTGCAGACACCATATATATTTGTTTGGATCTTCATCCTCATCATCATCATCTATAATGTCATCCTCTTCATTCAACACTTGGTTGTCCACTGTCTTCTCCACCATTGTTATAAGAAAAGCAAATATGTTTTACAACATGTAAATAATTAGAACATAAAGAATGAATTACCTAACCCGTATGATGTCGTTGATGGAATTCGTTACACAAGTTGGAGACTTCATCATTCAATGATGGAATATCGGCTCACATTTCCCCGATTTGGTCATTAATGTGTCCCACACAAGAATCAAAGTGCACTCGAAAATTAACCATGCACTCAATCATTGACTTCATTACAATATCCTCTTCAGCCCTAGCCTCTTCCATCGATTGTTGGTCATCATTATCAATGGAGTTCAATTGTTCTTTCTCTTATTCTGCTCAAATGCCATCTTTTTTATTCCAACCGACATTTTCAATAAATTTGTATCTGACTTTAGTCATGGATAACATGTCAATCTTTCGGGATAAACGAATAGGGTAGTCAAGAGAAAAATCTGCTTCATTCTTCTTCAGTAGATGGGTAATGACACATCCATATGGTAGTGAAGTTGTAATGGATTCACCCATTTTTGACTAAATTAACAAGTGTCTCGGATATCAGTTGTACAAATTTTGGAGCGGTTTTTGAGCTATACTTTGCTAACCACCAATAATCGATATCTCGAATTATGGAAAAATTTCCATTGGAAGGCCAAATAAACCAAGTGAGAATTTTTTGAAACACTCTAGCCTCCACATCTAGGTGAATGAGACTATTTCTATCCACACGTTTAATTGTAGGATCTAAATAAGTTTCATCGGAATCCTCTTTATTCTCGACACCTATACCTGCAACAATAGATTCCATATATATATATATATATCCTTCCCCAATACTTGAGTATTAATTTCGATGATCTTGTTCCTATTAGGCTCACGGTGGAATGAATCATTATTGTAGAACACTCGAACAAGGTTTGGGAAATATTTTGGTTCTACACTAAGAAATTCAAGCCAACCCCATTTTGTAAATATCTGTTTAAAATCAAATTTATATTTTTCATTAAACATGAAATCCATGTCAATAACACGTTCGGGACGAATTTTCTTGCTTTGAAACGCCGATAAATTTTTATTTCTCTTTATTGGTTCTAAAGTTGTTTGTATCAAACAACATGATTTGATCACAAGATCTTACTTGAGAAGATGACCTTGGTTGAGAAGATGACCTTGGTTGATAAGAAGGTTTTGGTTGAGAAAAACTACGTCTCGGACGTTTTGGAACCATTTTTAGTAGTGAATATAGAGGATGTTACATGAAACACAAGCACATTAAGAAAAAACTTTCAAATCCATAAATCACTAAAACCCTAATTTAGATCAAAATCTATATAAATTTACCTACAAATCTTATCGTAATAGTTGCAAGAAATGTCTCCAGTGGAGGGGATATTTAAATAAGCTTGAATGGTGCAATTTTCGTGAACAGTGGTATTCATCGGAGTGGAAGAGATATCTGCCTTTTAGGGGAGCGACGTTTCAATAAAAGTATGGAGGATCGATCCTTTTTTAAATAAATGAGACAAAAAAAAATGTGCTTACCGAATAAAAACAAAGCGCGACCTAATACTTGAAAATTGGTACCAATTTGTTTATAGGCTAATAATAATGTAACAGGTAAAATATTGTTAACCTAACCGGTTAATTTGTTTAATATTGATACTTGTGTTGAAAGAATCAGTGTTGTTTAGATTGAAAACATCGATACTTATATAAAAAGTATGGATACTTGGAATTTACGCCTATTATCATTAAAATGATACACTTTTACCGTTTACATTGTAAATTTACCTATAAATTTAAAGTAATTGGTTTTGAAATTATAAGTATCGATACTTTATATATGTGTATCGATGCATTTTACGTGCAAATTGTTTGAGAAGCATACTGGAATAGAAGTATCGATACCCATATAGACAGTATCAGTACTTGGTATTTACACCTATTTATATTTAATCGATACCATTCACCAAGTGTCGATTCTTTTATGTAAGATATCGATACTTTCGAGACATTTTCCTTTTTTCATTTCTTTTCAATTTCTAAAACACCGATACTATGGTACATATACTTATAAAAGTATCGAAACTTTCAACAATTTCGGTAGTGCTTTACCGGTTTTGTCAAATTCAAACCAATTTTATATAATTTCAACATGTTATATTATTATGTATCAATACATGTTTCTAAGGTATCAATACTTTATAGGTGCTATTAATTAATTCTTTTCAATTCCTATAGTACCGATACTTTGGTACTCATACTGTAATACCCCTAACCCGTATCCGACCCAGATACTGATCCGAGGTGTCACATTGACTTTTTAAATCATTGACTTCTAAAAAGTAGTTAAAAATTTAAACATTTATTTGTATTAAAATGATGGAACCCTTAAATGAAAGTAAATATTGAAAATTCAAACTCACACTGGAAATAAATACTTAATAATTTAAATAATTACAATAAAGTATGTTTACAAAAAACTGGTCAGAGAATATACGATTTAAACATTTAATTACATGCGAGCAAAATTCAGTATAACAAAATAACATACTGTTCAAATCGTTTATGATATGATATTCAGTAGAAATATATGATGTTCTATCCTGACCTAGCTTTTTTCTCCTGGCTTCTTTGAACCTACATGTGAAAACACTCACACGCTAAGTCTTTGACTTAGTGAGGCATAATGTGCATAATAAAACATTTAATCCTATTCTTAGTTTTTTATAAAAAATCTTAAGATAAAGAAACCATAGTACATTTCATAAAACAAAAACATATATTATCATGCATTGTTCATTCATGTCATTTGTTTTAATAGCCCATGGTATATTACTGAGAACTCAAGGTATGTGAGTACATAGAGGTTGTGCACTGGTCTGCAGTCGAAACTGTCACATAGAATTGCACCGAAGTACTACGTAGAATATGCACCAAAGTGCCACATAGAAATGTCCCAAAGGACAACGTAGAAATGTCCCAAAAGACCACGTAGAGTTTGTCCTAAAGAACCATATAGAATTGTCCCGAAGTACCGCGTAAAACCCTCGATTCTGCGCATGCCAATTATACCTCTAGCTCTCATATCACATACTTTGGGCTTTACTATTTGTACATTTCCCACATCTTATATCACATATTCATATATTCACATAGATCAATAACACATAGTATAAAATCCAAACAGTGCATGTACACGTAGTATTATAATCAAAACTAAGCTTGTATTCATGTAAAAATATATTCATAACATTTAATAAACTTTCAAAATATTGTTTTAATCAAAACATTGAAAGTAGACTCATCGTAAGTCTTCTTTCCATATACCAATATATTATAGTAGTATGCACTCACCTTTTTTCCTCACTTAGTTAAAGCAAAATCTTTATCACTCTTGGTAGATATCTTATACCGTCGAACCATCCGAAACTTGCATTCGTTCAATATTTACACAATAATACGATCGATATTAATATCGAAGTTCGTATTATTATTAATCAATCATCAATAACTTAATCTAAAAGAAACATCTAATTCAAAATTTCAGATTGAATAGTATCGATACTCTATTCCAGTACCGATACTTCCTCACTATGGTATCGATATTATCCTTCAGTATATATACCCAATTTGCATTCTGGAATTCGTTTCCAAAAATGGTACCGATACTTGTCCATTAGTACTGATACTATTAGTATCAATGTTACTCCTTCAGTATCAATATTGTTCTATTGTTTCATACAATTTCACATATTTTTGCTTTGAAGTATCGGTATTGTTCTTCCAGTACCGATACCCTTGCCCAAAAATTACCTATTTCTATTAGAAAATTAATCACAACTCGACTAAATCTCCCATATTTATCTCCTTTCATGCCTTTAAACTCAACTTCACTTATCAAAACCAATTTATATTACCTTAACACTCCTAAACATCCAAAAATCCCACTAAAACACTTGAAACTAAAAAATATACCCATTATTCAACATATCCCAAATCCTTTTCCAAGACCTTAAACTTCTTATTCTAACTTATCACAAGTCACATATAGCTTCAAAATCCATTTACTAATCATTTCTCATCAATTCTCTCAAAAACCCTCTTTACTCAATCACCAATAACTTATGAATCTTTTAATTTCTACTCTTCTTTAAGCTTTCTCAAACTTCCCTAATACCCAAAGAATCAAAACCAATAAAAAATTACAAGAAATAACTGACTTAAAGATTCCTTATCTTAGCTATGAAGCCACGATGGAGAGGAGGAAGAAAAGATGAAGAGAGAATTCTAGATTTATTTCTTTTATCCACATGTATATAATACACTAAGAATGAATTTTAAACTCATTCTTGCCTAAAGACCATTATGCCCTTCCATATTTCAATCTTTGTTAATCAATCCTACACAAATAAATTCCAATTTAATCCCTAAACTTTTTAATTTATCAAAATTAATCACAAAGTTTTAAAATCTTACACTTTAGTCATTAGCCCGATGTTTGGGGTGTTATAATTCTCCCCCTTAAGAAAATTCATCCTCGAATTTTCACAGCACAAAGAGGTGGGGAAATTGTCTACGCATATAATCCTCAAGTTCCCATGTTTCTTCCTTTACTTTGTGATTCCTCCACAAAACTTTCACTAACGAAATCTTCTTGTTCCTAAGTTCCTTAACTCCATGACCTAAAATTTTCACCGGTTCTTCTTTATAAGTTAAATCTGGTTGAATGTTAATCTCTTCCGGCGTAATGATATGAGAAGCATCAGAATGATATCTTCTAAGCATGGAAACATGAAAAGCATTATGAATGTTCTCCATTTCTGGTGGCAAAGCTAACTGATATGCTACTAGTCCCACTCTCTTAACAATATTGTATGGGCCAATGAATCTAGTGCTAAGTTTTCCTTTCCGGCCAAAACGTAACACTTTCTTCCAATGAGAGACTTTCAAAAATAATTTATCTCCAACATCGAACTCAATATCTTTTCTCTTTAAACCAGCATATGATTTCTGCCTATCGGCTGCTACTTTGAGATTATGTTGAATCACTTGAACTTTCTCTTTTACCTCCTTGATCAAGTCAGGACCAAGAACGTTCCGATCCTTAAGCTCGTACCAATTCAATGGTGTACGACATTTTCTCCTGTATAAAGCTTCATAGGGAGCCATCTTATTGCTCGAGTGGTAGCTATTGTTGTAGGCAAATTCTACAAGAGGTAAATAATTTTCCCAAGATCCTTTAAACTCGATAACACATGCCCTTAACATATCTTCCAAGATTTAGATAGTTCGCTTGGACTGTCAATCTTTCTGAGGGTGAAAAGTAGTACTATAATTCAACCGAGTCCCTAAAGCTCCATATAAAGTCTTCTAAAATCTTGAAGTGAATCGTGGTTCTCGGTCAGATACTATCAAAGCATGTACACCATGCATTCGAACAATCTCTTTGATGTACAATTCAACATACTTGTCTATATAAAAATTAGCTTATACGGGAATGAAATGTGATGTCTTGGTAAATCAGTCAACTATCACCCAAATTGAGTCTCTTTTATTCGGAGTCAAGGGTAACCCCATCACAAAATCCATTGTAATATTTTCCCATTTCCACTAAGGAATAGAGATTGGTTGCAACAATCCCAAAGGAACCTGATGCTAAGCTTTTACTTGCTGACACGTCAAACACTTGGACAAAAATTCAGTGATCATTTTTTTCATTCCTAGCCACCAATAACAACTTTTAAGATCCATGTACATCTTGTTTCCTCCTAGGTGCATAGTCAACGGACTACAATGAGCTTCCAACAACAAGTCATTTTTCAACTCCTCATCATCTAGAATAAAAAGCCTCCCACGTCTTTACTTCCTTCATTTTTCACTTGCTCCACTCTTTTCAAATACTTATCATCTTTACTTTGTAAATCTTTGATTTGATCCAGTAACATCGGCTTAAGATTTAACTCCTCAAGTAATGTACCATCTCCACTTAATGACAATCTCGTATCTAAAGCTCGCAAAGCTGAGAACGTCTTCCGACTCAGAGCATCAGCTACCACATTTTCTTTCTCAGGGTGAAAATCAATTACCATATAATAATCTTTAAGAAGCTCAATCCATCTTCGTTGTCTCAAGTTTAGCTCTTTTTGAGTCATCAGATACTTCAAACTCTTATGATCTGTGTAGATGTAGCAATATTCACCATATAAGATGTAGCAACGTTCACCATATAAGTAGTTAGGCCATATCTTCATAGCGAACATTATTACAGCTAACCCCAAATCATATGTCGGATAGTTTTTCTCGTGCGATTTCAATTACCTTGATGCATATGCCACCACTTTACCTTCTTGCATCAATACACATCCCAAACCATTATGGGATGCATCGCTATAAACCACATAATCATTGCCAGATTCTGGTTGGACTAATACCAGAGCTTCCGTAAAAATTTGCTTCAGCACTTCAAAACACTTTTAATATTCAAGGGTGCAAGAAAAAGATACATCTTTCCTTAGTAACTTAATCAAAGTCAATGTTATCATCGAAAAGTTCTTAATGAACCTTCGATAATAACCTGCAAGACCCAGGAAACTCCAAACTTCTGATACATTCTTTGGAATTTCCCAATGTAATATAGCTTTTATCTTCTGATGATCCATATGGATTCCCTATACAAATACCAAATGTCCAAGAAATGCTACTTCAGTAAACCAAAACTCACACTTAGACAATTTAGCATAAATTTTCTTGTCTCGAAGTATTTGAAGAATCGCTCTAATGTGTGTGTTATACTCTTCATTGGACTTTGAATACACCAAGATATCATCAATGAAGATGACCACAAACCGATCAAAATAAGGTTGAAACACTCTATTCATGAGGTCCATAAACGCAACTGGTGCATTAGTTAACCCAAACGACATAACTACAAATTCATAATGACCATATCTAGTCCTAAAAGTTGTCTTTGGAATATCCCTTTCTTGAATCTTCAATTGATGATAGCCAGAGTGCAAATCAATATTGGAAAACACTGAATCCCCCTTAAGTTGATCAAATAAGGCATCGATTCTTGGGAGATAATACTTGTTTTTTATTGTCACATTGTTAAGTTGTCGATAATCAATACAGAGACGCATTGAGTCATCTTTCTTCTTTACAAAAAACAATGGAGTACCCCAAGGTGACATGCTAGGTCTGATGAATCCTTTATCCAATAACTCTTGCAATTGAGTATTTAACTCACTCAGTTCCTTCAGAGCCATTCGGTAAGGAGCCTTTGAAATTGGTTTCGTTCCAGGCATTACCTCAATTTGAAACTCGACCTCCCTATCTGGAGGTAATCCCAACAACTTAGCTGGAAATACATCTGGAAATTCTCGGACCGTCGGAATGTCCTCTAGTCCTCTCTCTCGTTGACTCAAGTATCGATCACATTGGCAATGAAAGCTTGACATCTTTGTAACATTAACTTCTTAGCTGACATCACCGATATTACATTAGCTAATGGATTAAATCTTTCAAAGATCACAATCACTTCTAATCCATCAGGACTTATCAAAGTTACTATGTTCAATCTATAGTCGACATGGGCATGATAATGATATAACCAATTAATTCCCAAGATTACTTAAAACTCGTCAAAGGGTAATTTCATCAGATTAGCAAGGAATTCAATTCCCTGAATCCTTATGGGACACCCTCGACACAAGTGATTCGCCCGAGCACTATGCCCTAATGGGTTTGTTACTATCACATCATTACTTATAGCTTCTAATTGGATTTTCACTTATCTCACCAATTTACTACTAATATAAGAATAGGTTGATCCCGGATCAATCAAAACCAAAACAAAATTTTCAAATAATTGAAAAGTACTTGCAATGATCTCCGGATCATTACGATCTTCATTATTCTTAATATTGTAGACTCGAGCTGTTGAACGTATTTCATATTGAGTGGACAACTTAGACTGGTTTCTTCCTTGACCTCTTCCCCTACCTCTCTGAGGTACCATAGCAGATCCTCTGTTTGTACAGGCTATCTGGTCATCAATGGACAATCCCAGATAAAATGTCCAGTGTCCCCACATCTGAAACATGCTTCGAATACCACTCGACATACTATGGTATGATTCTTCCCACAACGTTGACACTGCCTCGATTGACATTGATTTGATCTTCCAGCTCCATACCCTGTTGATTAAGTCTATCTTATTCTTATTGGATTTGATCATCTGCCTGAGGATGCAGTTGACTCGGATCTAGTATGAGGTCAAAAACCTGAATCGTTGCCTCTCTTTGATGGTGCTGAGCTCGATGAAGCACCATCTCTCTTAGTCATTTGAACTTTTTGCTCTCCAATCCTCTCATTCTGAGCTATCCCTAGAGCTTTAGCACGATTTACCACTTCTTGAAACGATGATAGATTCAAAGTTATTAACAACTCTTTCAGTTTGGGGCGCAAGCCCTCTACAAACCAATCACATGAATTTTTTTCAGTCGGAACCAACTCCGATGTAAATCTACTCAACTTATTAAATTTGCACTCATACTCATACACTGTACGATTCCCTTTCTTCAAACTCATAAATTCTTGCTTCATTTTCCTAATAAACTGATCACCGATGTACTTGTTTTTGAACTCTTCTAGAAAGAACGACCATGTCACCTGGTCCCTCATAGCTCGCATCATCACATTAGTCCACCATACCCGAGCTTGCCCCCGTAGCAACGATATTGCTCTATCTAACTTCTCTACTTCTAAACAGTGGAGACCCTCCAACATGATCTTTATGTCATTAAGCCAAAGGTCTACAGCAACATGACCTTCCTCAGCTTCACCCTTGAACTTGGGTGCTCCTAACCCTTTTAACTCTTTTGCTATATTCATCCTAGGAGTTGAGGGAGCATGTGGTTGGAAATGCGTCAGAATAGCATCCAACGTCCTAAAAAACACTCCTTAATCTTGTACAGGCACTCCTTGAGGCGCCTGTTCTTCACCTTGCCTGGCCGGGGTGGGTGAATTACTACTACCCTCATGTCCATCTTCACTTCGGGAGCCCTCGTAGTCAAACATCTAATAAGATATAACCATTTAACTATATTATCAAGGATAACATACTCATTATACTATCATATAAGAAATGTTTCACTTTTTTAGTTGGCATGTACACAAATGACTTCAGATTAAGCCTATAATCGGCTAAACCTTAGCTCTGATACCATTAAATGTAACACCCCAATTCGTATCTGACCCAGATATTGATCCGATGTGTCACATTAACTTTTCAAATCATTGACTTCTAAAAAGTAGTTGAAAATTTAAATATTTATTTGTATTAAAATGATGGAACCCTTAAATACAATAAAGTATGTTTACATAAATACAATAAAGTATATTTACAAAAACTGATCATAACATACACGATTTAAACATTTAATTACATACCAATAAAATTTAGTACAACAAAATAACATTTTGTTCAATTCATTTCTGATCTAATCTATAGTAGAGATATATGTTGTCCTATCCTGACTTAGCTTTGTTCTCTTGGCTTCTTTGAACCTATGTGTGAAAACACTCACACGCTAAGTCTTTGCCTTAGTGAGGCATAATGTGCATAATAAAACATTAAAATAGTTAATCTTATTCTTAGACTTTTATAAAAATCATAGGATAAAGAAACCATAGTACATTTAATAAAACAAAAACATATATTATCATACATTGTTCATTCATGTCATTTTTTTTAATAGCCCATGATATATTACTGAGAACTCAAGGTATGTAAGTACATTGAGGTTGTGCACTGGTTTATAGTCGAAACTGCCACATAGAATAGCATCGAAGTGCCATGTAGAATATACACTGAAGTGCCACATAGAAATGTCCCGAAGGACCACGTAGAAATGTCCCAAAGGACCGCGTAGAGTTTGTCCCGAAGGACCATATAGAATTGTCCCGAAGGACCGCGTAGAACTCTCGACTCTTGGCATGCCAATTATACCTCTAGCTCTCATATCACATACTTTGGTCTTTACCATTTGTACATTTCCCAGAACTTATATCACATATTCATATATTCACATAGATCAATAACACATAGTAAAAAATCCAAACAGTGCATGTACACGTATTATTAGAATCAAAACCATGCATGTATTCATGTAAACATGTATTCATAACATTTAATAAACTTTTAAAATATTGTTTTAATCAAAACATTGAAAGTAGATTCATCGTAAGTCTTTTTTCCATAAAACAATATATTATAGTAGTATGCACTCACCTTTTTGCCTCACTTAGTCAAAGCAAAATCCTTATCACTATTGGTAGATATCTTATACCGTCGAATAGTCCGAAACTTGCCTTCATTCAATATTTACACAATAATACGATCGAGTATAATATCGAAGTTCATATTACTATTAATCAATCATCAATAACTTAAGATAAAAGAAACACATAATTCACAATTTTAGACTGAATATTATCGATGCTCTATTCCTAGTACCGATATTTCCTCACTATGGTATCGATACTATCCTTCAGTATCGATACCCAATCTACATTCTGGAATTCGTCTCCAAAAATGGTATCGATACTTGTCCATTAGTAACGATACTCCTAGTATCGATGTTACTCCTTCAATATCGATAATGTTCTATTGTTTCATACAATTTCACATATTTTTGCTTTGAAGTATCGATAATGTTCTTCCAATACCGATACCCTTGCCCATAAATTACTTATTCCAATTCAAAAATTAACCAAAATTCCCCTAAATCTCCCATATTTATCTTCTTTCATGCCTTTAAACTCAACTTCACTTATCAAAACCAACTTATATTACCTTAACACTCCTAAACATAAAAAATCACACTAAAACACTTGAAACTAAAAATAATACCCATTATTCAACATATCCCAAATCCTTTTCCATCACCTTAAACTTCTTATTCTAACTTATGACAAGTCATATATAGCTTCAAAATCCATTTACTAATCATTTTTTTATCAATTCTCTCAAAAACCCTCTTTACTTAATCACCAATAACTTATCAATCTTTTAATTTCTACTCCTCTTTAAGCTTTCTCAAGCTTCCCTAATACCCCAAGAATCAAAACCAATCAAAAATTACAAGAAATAACTAACTTAAAGATTCCTTACATTAGATATGAAGTCACAGTGGAGAGGAGGAATAAAAGATGAAGAGAGAATTCTAGATTTCTTTCTTTCCTCCACATGTATATAATACACTAAGAATGAATTTTAAATTCATTCTTGCCTAAAGACCATTATGCCCTTCCATCCTTCAATCTTTTCTAATTAATCCTATACAAATAAATTCCAATTAAATCCATGAACTTTTCAATTTATCAAAATTAATGACAAAGTTTTAAAATCTTACACTTTAGTCACTAGGCCGATGTTTGGGGTGTTAGACATCGATGTTTGGGGTGTTGGACATACTTATAAAACTATCGATAATGTCAACAATTTCGATAGCTCTTTACCGGTTTTGTCAAATTAAAATCGGTTTTGTCAAATTTTAATATGTTATATTCTCATGTATTGATACATGTGTGTAAGGTATCGATACTATTTAGCCTCTATTATTGCAATTCTTTTAAATTCCTACAGCACTGATACTTTGGTACATATACTTATAAACATATCAATACAAATTTCAACAATTTCGATATCTCTTTTCCTATTTTGTCAAATTGAAACCGCTTTTATCAAATTTCAACTGGTTTTGTCAATTACCAACCAATTTTATCAAATTCGTTACCTCTTTTGTTAATTTGAAACCGAATTTGTCAAATTCACTTGTTATATTTTCATATATCGATACATGTGTGTAAGGTATTGATACTTTATATGCACTTTTATTGCAATTCTTTTAAATTACTAAAGTATCGATACTTTTATACATATACTTATAATTGTATCGATACATGTCTACTTTTAACCGGTTTTCCACCTACGACATTATTATTAGTCAACATTTCCGGTAGCGTTTAACCGATTTTGTTTCTTAGCCGTATATTAGTCTGCCTTTCCTTAGACAAACCCGACAAATGGGCTAAACTAGTTTTTTTATCTTATTCAAGGACTAAATTGATTTTTTTAAAAGTTTAGACGCTTATATAATTTTTAAAAATAAAAATTATCTTAAATTTAAAATTAAAAATATAAAAAATAAATATTCAAAAAATTAAATATAAAAATACTAAAAATAAAATATATATATATATTTTAAAAATAATAAAATTATATTATTTTAAAAAAATTAAATATATATCATAAGTTATAAAATAATAAATTATAAAAAAATTAAAATATTTTTAAATATATATATTATACATAATACATACATGTAATATATAGTCATATCGTGGTTTGACCCTCCAATAAATTATATTTCAAATTTAGGCCATTAGAAAATATTTTTGTTTTAATTTTAATGTAAATTTTATTAAAGTGAGAAAATATTTAAAATTGTAATGAAATTTGAAAACTAAACACATAATTAAAATATTTTTCTATAGTCATTGATACAATAAACTAGTCATCAATTTCTTTTAAGGACCATACAAAGAGAGTTAAAACTCATCCAAGATCCTCGAATAAAAGATAGATACAAATAAATCTGACTGAATCGGCAAACGAACCACAACAGAGAATTAAATTGTCGAAAGATCAACAACAATCGCAAATCAGAATCGAACATCGTGAGAAAACTATCTACGAATGCAAATCATGTAGTTCAAATTAAACTGTAATCGTTAATCGGTGTAACTGTTACATTTTACATGTTAATTAATCGAACCATTAAGGTTAAACAATTTCAGTTAACCGAACTGCTAAAAGTACTGGTTAACAGTTACGATTAGAAATTTTGATAAATTCTTAACCATCAGTTAACTATTAATAAATTATAATAAATTATATATTTTTAGAGAGAATAGAATTAGAAATAAAATCAAAATGGTTCTTTCTTATTTTTTTAGTTATCATGTTTATCTTGTATTAGAACACATTAAATCATACATAAATAGAATAAATATATGATTTTTAATTTACAAAATATAAATATGTATTTAAGATTTTAAACTGCAAAAAAAATATTAAATATACCCCATAATATATATATATATATA